GTAATGCAAAAAGTTAAACTCAATTGAAAGTGATTTTTACATAAATATTTATTTAGAATACAATTGTAAATGTAACCTGTTTACATAAACAATAAACAAGTACTTTACTCTTTATATTTAAGTATGATACATTACACATTGCTTATATGTTGATAATTTATGTTGCAAGTAAAATTAATTTTTTTCATGACAATAATTTATAATTCGCTAAAAATGGTAGCGAATTTATAGTATGTCTTTCGTGATTAATGATTAATTTTTGTAGCATTAATAATAATTATTATGAATATTATTATTTGTTTTAGTAACTATATAATTTTACTTTCAATGATATAAATTATTAACAACAATTATTTTCTATTGAATACTTACAATACCATATTGATAGTAAATTTTCCTTTTTTATAAATTCTAATAATAAATGAAGAAATTAATAATGACTTAAAGCTATATTGCACTTCATACTGAATATCAATACAGTATTTTATATATATATATATATATATATATATATATGGGCAGATCCATTAATTCTCGACGAAAGTGTGCGCACTCAGGTCAACGATTTTGATGCCGATTTTTTCCTCAAAAGAACACCTTAAAAAAAGACGATCCTAAAAATTTGGACCCGATATAATCAAATCCGGCCGCTGGAGAATTTTTTGAATTTTTAAAAAAGTCGATTTTTCACTGATTTTCGAATATTTGTATCTCAGCTTCTATATAACTTAAAGACTCCTGCCCAACGGCATTTTTCTCAGTAGACTCTCTACTTTTAAGAAAAAAAATAAGTGTTTGGTCTAAACTCAAATAGGGCTTAGCTGACAGCCTTTAACTAACGAACTGTTTTGGTTAAATTTTACCTATTTGTAAAACACTAGTATACGTACAGTGTTTGAAGTTGAGGATCAACCAGCAGCTAATGTCTTCTATTGGGGTATACTTTAGTAGAATATATGCAATTTTTATTTGATTGCTTCTATTAAGTAAAGTTATAGCCGTCTAAAACCAATCAAATTTTAAAAAATTGCAGTTTTCAGATGGCTAGAATTTTTTTCTCGGAACTTCGATTTCCTTCAAACTTTCAGGAAAGTTGCTTTATTATTTTCCTAAAAAGCCCTAAAAATTTGGGCTAGGGAATCGAGCTTGTATTCAAGTTATGGATTTTTTAATATTGCCAAAATTGCCTTAAATTTAATAAGGAATTCCTTAATAGTCATCATTTAAGGAGGTAAGAAGTTTGGCAACGCAATAAATTTTATCACGGTTGCGCATACCTTGACTGCTCTATTCGTGTTTGTTATGTGTATGTGTGTGTTATGTTTACAAGTAATGCTATTAAAAATATTAAAATATTAAAGCATGAAAATATTTATTATTTAATTATATTTTATTTTATGATAAATAATAACAATTTTATATTATTTTGAGTTTTACTTGTATACCGTTATCTGGTTTTTACAAGACTGATATCCCCACTTTTATCTTCATTTTATATCTCCACTCTATATCTCTCTCTTTATTGCGGCTGTTGTCCGACTTGTACTTTCTGTACCGTATTCACCCTGAACCTTACCTTCTCAGGCTGTTGGAACAGAATCATGGAGAAACCACAGAGAAAACCCATGATAGTACAGTCGGAGCTGGGCTAAGTCTACAGTGATTGATATGAAACTCTTCTTTATCGACCACTGGAGCATTAGGCCCCTCTACTAGTGTGCAGAGATCCCTCGCGCTAGCCAACGTTGACTAGAGTGGTCACCCATTCAAGTTGTTGCTTAAATGTGTGATCGCCCAAGTCAGACGTGTGCCGCCCGGCTATCGCTGCCACTTCCAGAGGCTGGCAACGTAACGTAACGCACATATTTTTTAATTATAATCACTAAAAAATATTGGTGCGTGCTGGGATCGAACCCGGGTCCCACTCTTTCGAAAAGCGAGCACCGAGCCGACTAGACCGTTGCCAGCCTCAATTACAATTTTATAATACTTTTCTTAACCTTTTAGATATTTTTTTTAACTTATTCTATTGAAGCTTTAAATTTCCCGCGTGACCTACCATTTGCGGCATTGCCGTCAACATAGCCCACATTTACTATGGCTGACTATTTTTTTTAAATTTAGATTTTTCAAACTCAATTATTTTTATAACTAAGTACTTTCAACTTATTTTTATTTTTTCAATAATTTTTGCAAATTTTTAACTTCCCACTCAGCAAATTGAAAATTTTCAAAAATCGGGAAGTTATTGTTTTCACCCCGTTTTTCGAAACTCGAGTTTTCATCCGATCTCGACGTTTTGAAGTCCTAGGAAGCTTTCCTGACTATTTCCGCAGTGGTCACCTTGTCTGTATGTATGTATGTGTGTGTGTGTGTGTGTGTGTGTGTGTGTGTGTGTGTGTGTGTGTGTGTGTGTGTGTGTGTGTGTGTGTGTGTGTGTGTGTGTGTGTGTGTGTGTGTGTGTGTGTGTGTGTGTGTGTGTGTGTGTGTGTGTGTGTGTGTGTGTGTGTGTGTGTGTGTGTGTGTGTGTGTGTGTGTGTGTGTGTGTGTGATTATTTTTGAAATTATTTATATTTTTCTCATTTTAGTGATATCGTTTTTTACGTTTCGCTAAATTTACAAACGGCTAAATTTACAGATTTCAAAGATTAGAGTTTAGAAACGGCCAAATTTAGAAGTGACGAAAAAACTGTAAACATAAAAACCTACCCGAATTAATGCACGCGATGGTATGTATGTATGTATGTAAATCTATCATAACTTTTGAACCGATCCGATTTAATCGAAATAGACGGCGTTCTGAAGAGTCCTTTTGCCCCTAGAATTCTGATACTAATCACAGAATTTGAGTCGATCAATATTGAGAAATCTCAAAAATAAAATTTCTAAAAAGTCTTTTTGTTGAAATATCTTTTAAACGGCTGAACCGATCAATTGAACGATCAATTCCAAAAACTAATCAGCTCTTAACCTCAAAAAACCACGTCGATTGCCACTAGCCCGGTCAAAATCGGTTGATTTGTTCGTGAGATATCGTTGTCGAAAAAAATTGAAAAAAATGTTTTATTCAGAATTTCTATGAAATTTTTAGTCTGACCAGTTTACGCTCAAAATTTTTTCAAAGAACTCAAAAAACTGCGTTGAATTCCGTAAACCGCGAGAAAATCGATTAATTCATTCAAAAGTTATTGCGGTTTGTAAATTCGAAAAATAGTGTTTTATAAAACTTCCATTAGCCTTTTGAGCTCGAAGAGCTCAAAAGTACAGAACAGCGATTTATTTGAGCTTGGAGAGCTCAAAATTACACAAAAATTACATTTTTGAGCTCGAAGAGCTTAAAAAATAAGTGGATTGTTGGGCACTTAGGTATGGAGGTAGCGGGAAGTTGCAGGAATGGCCTTTAAGGTCAACCGTTTTCCTAATATTTTTTTTGTAATAAGTTTTTTAAAGCGTTCTTATTATTTTTTCATCATGAAATTTATTAAAAAAGAGTAAATGTGAGATCTGGTATGTCATTACAATGTCAAATGACCTATTTTTAATCTTGTTTTATAAATAAACTATGTACCCTAGGTCTCTGAAATTTCAACACAACACGTATTAAATATATTTCTATCGACCCTAAAAATTTTGAATTGATCTCATTATTTCAACTTAACTCCCATACCTCCTTAAATGATGACTATTAAGGAATTCCTTATTAAATTTAAGGCAATTTTGGCAATATTAAAAAATCCATAACTTGAATACAAGCTCGATTCCTTAGACCAAATTTTCAGGGCTTTTTAGGAACATAATAAAGCAACTTTCCTGAAAGTTTGAAGGAAATCGAAGTTCAGAGAAAAAAGTTCTAGCCATCTGAAAACTGCAATTTTTTAAAATTTGATTGGTTTTAGACGGCTATAACTTTACTTAATAGAAGCAATCAAATAAAAATTGCATATATTCTACTAAAGTATACCCCAATAGAAGACATTAGCTGCTGGTCGATCCTCAACTTCAAACACTGTACGTATACTAGTGTTTTACAAATAGGTAAAATTTAACCAAAACAGTTCGTTAGTTAGAGGCTGTCAGCTAAGCCCTATTTGAGTTTAGACCAAACACTTATTTTTTTTCTTAAAAGTAGAGAGTCTACTGAGAAAAATGCCGTTGGGCAGGAGTCTTTAAGTTATATAGAAGCCGAGATACAAATATTCGAAAATCAGTGAAAAATCGACTTTTTTAAAAATTCAAAAAATTCTCCAGCGGCCGGATTTGATTATATCGTGTCCAAATTTTCAGGATCGTCTTTTTTTAAGGTGTACTTTTGAGGAAAAAATCAGCATCAAAATCGTTGACCTGAGTGCGCACACTTTCGTCGAGAATTAATGGATCTGCCCATATATATATATATATATATATATATATATATTAGGGTGTGCCAAAATGTAACTTCCTTGATGGACCTCTTAAAATTGAAATTTTGAGTTCCGCTTTTAAAATCAGCTTTGTTTAGGTCTTTCCTAAGATATTTTGGGGTGAGACGATAAATTTGATTTTCATAGAATTTTTTAACTGGAGCTTAGTTGGGGCACTTCCGCTGAAAATTCAAATTTTGGCCGGAAATGCCCAATTAAACCTCCTGCTAAAAATTCTATGAAAATCAAATCTATCGTCTTACCCCAAAATATGTTAGGAAAGGCCTAAACACAGCTGGTTTCAAAAGCGGAACTGAAAATTCCAATTTTAAAAGGTCCATCAAGGAAGTTACATTTTGGCACACCCTAATATATATATACTTTTTTCTTGACTCATGACTTTATAGTTCAAGTATTCAATTACACGTTTTTCAAAATAGTTTATTTAAATTACTTCGACTTTGAAAAAAATATATTTATATTCATGTTTCTTTTATTTTATTTTCAAATGAGTGAAATGATCATCTGTTGACCTTAAACTTTCGATTAGTGCGTCCACATATAAGATTCTTATAATTAACAGTGAAATTTAGCCCGCGGTCAAGGCAGCAAACTACTTCTCACAGGTCGCTTGTACTCATCGTCAATTTCGTGAAGATCAGGTGGGTCCGCAAAACCACTGTCGTCGTAACGTGTACAGCGGGATCCAGGAGACCGAGGTGGATGAACTGAATGGACTGGATGGATACTATTATAATAAAAAAAATTAGTAATCAATAGACTAATACTCTTTCAATTGAAATGAAATTTTTCATAACGTACAGATAAGAAAATACTCAGACTCAAATCCAGGTTGACTTTAGGTTACAAATTTTGATTGTTTTTGTTTTTTTTTTTTTTTCTTACATTTTATCTTTAAAATTTTTAATCGCGTATAATCAAAGTGAAATTTTGTACAAATATACAAATATTTAGGCTGTGCCAATACATACAATTTTCAAAAATTTTGTTCGTCATTTTTAAAGAATAAATTTCTAAAAGATGAATAAGATTTTTAAAAAATTGAACTAAAACTCTTTCGATGGATTAATAATTAATCTTGAAAATTCATTAAAAAGTTCGTGTTGAAAAATTTGATAGTTATACCAATAATGTTCGAAAAAACAACTCGATTCTTGAATCATCAATAAAATATTTTAAGCGTTTGGCAATCTTCGAAAAAAACTTTAAAAATCCATACCATAAGCCATTGAAACCACTCTTTTTATGTAAAAATATTAATTAATCGATTTAAAAAGCATTTTAATGAGTCGAGGTATTACTCTTCTTTTTCTAATAGCGTTCTTCTGTATCATTTATATGTATATTATGACTGTTAAGTATGATTTAATGTAACAAAACGACGGAGTCTTCATTTTTTTGCTTTAATGGAGCATACCTTTGCATACAATATTTCGTCTCAAATCAAATAATAATAATAATAATAATAATAATAATAATAATAATAATGTTTGTTAATTTATCATTACCTAGTACAACGCGATGGATTGGTCTCCAAAGGCTCGTCATATCTGCGCGATAACATTGTAAAGTCTCGATGAGCTGATACCATTTTTTGCAAACGCGAAATAATTTCATAATCAGGCGTACAAATAGGTTCCGAGAGTATTTTAACAACAGAGACTCGGAAAGACTGTAATTGTGATTCTCTTCTGGTGACCTCCGCTAAATTTTGTTTAACCTGAGCCAGTTCGTCTCTAAGTAATTGTAATGAATGATCATTAATCGATCTTTCTTGATCAGCACTCTCAGCCGTTGTCCGCATTTGATCTTTCAGCATCGTTAATTTTCTGCTGTAACGGGTTCTAAGCATTTCACTCTCCACTAGACGCTTTTGCAACTCTTCTATTTTTCGACTGCGCTCTAACGCCGCAATCTATCAAATTCAATTGTAAAAAAAAATCATTTTTTTTTTTATAATATTATCAATACAGTCAATCAATGTTATATAAGCTCTCTTCATCCGTGTGAAAAACAAGTTATGTTAAAAGCAATAATTTGTTGTATTGAAAAATATTTATCTAAATCAATATGTCCGTAATTTAAATTGATCGAGACGATACCTTGTAATCAGCAGCTTCTGTTAATTGAGCGCTTAATTCACGATTCCGAGATTTTTCTTCCGCCAATTGTATTTGCAGTCGATCTATTTGCTTCATTGCTTTTTTAGCTCTGAAATTAAAAAAATCAAATATTTTATCCTCTTAATTCCTTCATTTATCTAATCCCCACTTTAAAATTTAAAATAAAAATAAACTTGAAGAAACAAAATACCGTAAATTAGCGTCATCTCTCTCCGCTTGTAAAATCGACTTAATTCTCACGCCATCTTCCTGCAGTGAAAGCTTTCTACGCAATAGATCCAAATGTAAATCCCGTCGCTGCAATTGTTCCCGTAGAGTTCTTACTCGTCTTTGAAGTTGATAAACAACAGATGTCTAGTAGAGATAAAAAGTCATCATTAGTTACAATAAAATTTTTTATATAAAAAATTTTTTGTAATGTTATGATTAAAGTCTATAACATTAGTTTGTAATTTTAACTATCAATACAGCAGTATAAATTGATAATATAATAATAATAATAATAATGAGTGAATAGGTGATGAGCAGTGCTATGAAGAAATATTCTACTGTTAGATATGATAGATTATCTATTATTAAAAATACAGGCTGATTTTGGACGTTCGTAATTAATTTTCCTGCCTACTATATTCGGCTTACTTCTTTTAGACAAGGAAGCTCGAAGGACCGCTCTCGCCGTATCTTGGGAAATGTTGTGTAGTTGTAGACTAGCTGTTAAAGTACATACACGGGACAAGACAATAAACACCGAGATTAGAAGCAAAACACTCAAGGACAACTAACAATTAACAATTTTTTCTTTTAATTTTAATTATATACTTATAAAGCTATTGTTCCTTATTAATTATCAATAATTATTGTGTATTCGTTTACTTTTACCTTGTCGACGAGCTTATCTGTCTCAAGGCGTGCTAACTGTTCAGCTCGTACTAACAGAGCTTCTGTTTGAAGATCCAAACCGATTTCTTGAGAAATATCGTCCATTTGCATAGCTTTGCCCAGACGTTCCAAAAATATTGTAATCTATAAATTAATATAATGATAACAATATATACAGATATTTCGAGGTAAAGTTTTTAAAAAAAAAGAACAAGTTGAAACGATAAAAAAACAAAAAGATTATATTAAAATTAGCGACATCAGATCTTTTTTTAGTTTTTTTCAACAAACAAATAAATCAATTCTGAAATTTGATAATAAATAGCCATATTTACTAAATAGCTAAGTTTGTCATTAATCGATAAATTTGGAATAAAGAGGATAAAGGCAAAGAAAGGACCTTACTCAGTAGGAATCTTTGTAAAATAATACTGAAAAAATATTCTAAGAAATTGACATTTAAAGTTTTTTAATATCTCTACGCAGGTGAAGTTTTTTTGTTTTTAATTTCTTTGACAGATATTTATTTTATTTTTTAAATCGTAAGACTACTAGATGTTTATTATTTTTAGTTTTATAAAATAAAAAGAAATTTCAATTTGTCAATCAATTTGATTTTCAAAAATTCGAGAAGTTATTGGTCTCACTCCGGTTTTCGAAAATCGAGTTCTCCTAAGATAACATCAAGATATTTCTTTCAGTTCGTACTGCAGGTTATAAGTAATCTTCTTCTGTTTAAAAAACTATATTAAATGTCAGAAACCGGATTAAGATCAGTCAATTCGCTCAATAGATATTGCTGTCAAAAAAAATCAGAATAACTTTTTTTTCGTATAATTTCCGAATTTCTTGTCGAATTATTCTGCCAGAAAGAAATAATCAAGTAATCAAGTTGAAATAGTTAAGTAAATTTCAAACTTTTTCCAATCCACTTTAACTCAGCAATAGAATATATTTTTTAATGAAAACTAGAAATATGATCGCTTCACTCGCATTCATTCATTCAATAATCCTGCCATTATTCAGTCGACTAATCAACAACCGAATAAAAAGGTTACAGAAGTGACGTAAAACGATGAAACATCCGCAATCAAATTTTTAGAAAAGGGTTGAATGACTTTTGTATCACGCACTTCTAAATTTTCTAAAAATCTTTTAGATCAATCAATTACAAAAACTAATTAAATCATTCAAATTCAAGGCTTTATTAAAGTTTCAGTTTCAATTATAAACCTTAATCCACAAACTAAATGATTTTTTGCGTCTCTAAATAGATCTAAGCATGTCATACCATACTACGCATTACATAATTCTATAGTTAAAATACTTACACTATGTTTATCACGCCTGAGTGACTCCTTAGTCAATTCACAACTTGTTAATTCAGATTCTAATTTATGAACTTTAGATTCTAAACTTGCACGATCATCTTCAAGGCTCCTTATTTTTATCATACTTGACTCTAACAACTCACTTTGCCGGTTTGATGATTCCGACATTCCGTTTAATTTTTCTTTCAGGCTATGGATTTTCTGTTTCAAAAAATCATTACATTGTACTTCATAAAAATGGAAATTTTTTCACCAACTTTTTGTTCAAAACTTACAAGGATATGATCTTTGTTTTCGGCAATGATCTCACGTATCCGATCTTTTATTGAATTCTCATGAGACTCAACAAATCTATTCGGAGTGCTAACGAGTATTGCCAAAGATTCAAGAAGATGACGCAGTTCGTTTTGTACTCGAGAGAGTTTTTCTTCTCGGTTTTTTAGATCATCTAGGAAATGAATTTAAAAAAAAAATGAACAAATCAATTATTACACTATAATTTGAAGTATGATAATTTTTACCTCGTAATTGACAAATGAGCGTTTCTTGACTAGAAACATTTCCTGTAATACTCGTGAGATTTCTATTAGCATTCACTAATTTGTCCCTGAGTTCATTCAATTCCCTCTCGGTGACCCTGTACTGCATTTCAAGGCACTCTTTATCCTGTAAAGCGTCGTTGTTAATTTAATACTATTTTACTAAATATAGAAACGTTTATTTTTTATTTTTATAAATAATTACCCGAGTCAAAATTTAAGTCGTAGATTCAACGTATTGAACGTTTAAACCGTAAATTCGACGTATTGAACGTTGAAAACGTAAGTTCAACGTATTGGACGTTGAAATCGTAATTTGAACGTATTGAACGTAAAAAATATAGATTCAACTGTTTTAAGAAGAATATATGATCCGTAGTAAACATTAAAAGTTACAAATGTCATATACCAATCCGTAAAAAATAACCTATAGGCTAAATTTATTTAAAAGCTTTTCCCAAAGATTTGATTGAGTTAATTTTTAGCTACTTGCATATTTAATCAACTAATAAAATTACGGTTGATTGGAATTAAGGAAGTTATTAAATTAAGATTGATTTTTGAGAGCCAAATTCTCATTCAATCTCGATATTTTGAGATCTTTGAAAACTATTAGATTTTCATTTGCATTTCAAAAATATTTTGAAGATTTGAGGAGCTCATTGACCGACTTATAGTTAGATTTTCAAGCATAAAGCTTCAATATACCTAAAATTTCATTAATAATTAAAATTTTCACTTCAGTGGAATGAATTTGTAAAATATACTTGCATGCATGGTGCACCAGCAAAATTTAAAATCGATTTACGCTCACAATACGTTGAATACGTTCAACTAACGTTTTTAACGTTCAATACGTTCAAATTACGATTTCAACGTCCAATACGTTGAACTTACGTTTTCAACGTTCAATACGTCGAATGTACGATTTGAACGTTCAATACGTTGAATCTACGACTTAAATTTCGACTCGGGTATTAATTATTAATAGATAATAATTTTATAATTAATTTAACTTAGATAATTTTAATACCTTAAATTTAATAAAAAATTTAAAGGAAAATATGATGGAACTAATAGACAATTCAAAACTCCTCCAAGAACGTGACATAAAAAATCGACTATTATTAAAAAGTGCATAAAATCGTGAAAAAGTACAAATTTACGTCAAGACCTTTCTGATATCAAATTTAACTATAGAAATTCCTTTTAATAGAAACATATGCTCGTACAAAATTCTCTTTATTCTCATAATTGTTCAGATGATAAATTTATTATCACCGAAAACAATATTAAACCTTGAAAAGACATAAAATTAAGTTACGACTTTTCTGGTAGTACCAAATTTCATTCGCTTGAAATTTGAATCTATTTATAACTACTCCGAAAACTTACAATAAATTAACGATTTTTAAAAAGCATAATGAAACCTTGAAAAAAGCCAAATTTCGGTTAACATCTTTCCAATATACTACAATTTAACTTTCAAAAACCCTTTTTATCTTACAAATACGCCGAAGACAAAATTTTCCTTATTTCCTTAATTACATAGAATACTTGATAAAAATTGACCTGACGAAGTCGTTCCAGTTCAGCTGATTGCGTGCTAACTTGTCGTTGCAATTGATCTCTTTCAATACTAGATCGTTCTAATAAATCTCGGCAGCTCTTAGATTCAACTTCTACGCTAGTTAATTGGCTTTCAAAATTAATACTCTTGGTACGGAGTCGATTAACTTCCTGGACAAGTTCTTCAGCTTTGTGAATCACCATTTCTGGACTGTGGTGTGTACTGTCGCAAAATTCACTGTTCAATGCATGCGCTAATCTTCTTACAAAGTCCTGAATTATTCAAATTCATAGTCGTTAGTAAGTTGTAGTTAATTAATGATGTTTGCAAATAACAAATTTTTAAGATTTATGATCGATTATGTAAAATTAACACACTACAAAAAAAAATTATTTTCTTAGAAGTTTTTCTCTTATTTCTACTAATAAATACAAAATTTTTCAGAAGAATTATTATAGTATAATTAATAAAAATATTGTATCCTAATTATAGATAAACTATTAATTTATTGTTTATGTAAACAGGTATTCTAGATACGTATCGATTTAAAAATCACTTTCAATTTTTGTTAACTTTTTTTATTACATTATTTTATGCTTGATATTAAAGATAACCCATAAAAAATTTCTTTTATAAGCAAACATTTTTTTATCATAAAAATCACCCATGGAATTTGAGAAAAATTTTTTTTTGGCAAAAGAAAATTGAAAACGACACTGAAAAAAAAATTAACTTAAATCAAAAGAAAAATTCTTGAACTTAGTAAATAATTTTGAAAAGTTTTACTGTCTCGAATCAAGATCGAAAGTTCTTGAGTCAAGAAAAATTTACTTAAACCAAGAAAAATTTCTTAGTTTAATAATTTTTCTACTCAAATCAAAAAAAATGAAGTTCTTCAAAATTAGTGACTGGATTCAAATAATTTTTTTTTTTTGTGTATTATTACAGTTAGGTAAAAAAAGGCATAGGATAAAAATGTTAATTTTATTTTCTTCTTTTTGAAGGAACTTATTTCCAATGTAGGTATCTTTGCATATCATTTACTAGACGTAATTTAAATTTTTTGTGGAAAAAAATAATTTTTTGTAAAATATTAATAGAATTAATAACTTAATTACAAAAAAATCATAGCGCTTATTTAAAAAATTTTTTCAATTTAATTAATTAAAATATATTTAAAAAAAAACATAAAACCTGTAAATTTAACCGCGCACGTTCTTTTAAATCAGTTTCTTCCGTGATGTGATGTTCTAGTTGTCGAATTTTCTTTTCATACTCCCGATTTTTTTCTTCATGATATTTAACATCACGTTGTAAACTTTGAACTGTTATTTCAGTCCGCCCGTGTGTCGCATATAGATTTCTCTCTCTATCTTCGAGATCCTAAAAAAAAAAAAACAATTTTTCCATAAGTCTCTAGCTAAATTTTCATAATTAAGAGTAAGTATTAAATAAATAAGTTAATAACTTGTATCCTTTTTTTAAGACTAGAAATTATAGAATTTTGTCTAGCGGCTTGCTCACGAAGTTGATCAGCCTCCAACTGTAATTCGGTTACCCTCTGGTCTCGTGATCTCAACGTAGTCTTCATCTCTTGAAGCTTTAAATAACAATTCATCAATTTAATTGCGAACGTAAATCATGGTTGCTTGTAATACTTGAAATTTTTTTAGTCATTGTTATTATGAAAATTAATTAACACTTGAGTTCAAAATAATAAACATTAACCAGGCTTACTTCAGATGAAAGTCGGTCTCGTTTGTATTCCAGAGCTGCTAATTCACTTCTTAAGCTTGTTGTGACGTCATGCGTCATATCCTCTTGATCAAACTGTAATTTTTATTCTAAATTTATTTTGTGTCAGAAAAAGATCATTGATGTTTAAAAAAGAGTTCTCTTTGTTAAATCAAAAATTTTATATATTTTTTTCTAATTTAGTCTAATTCTTCTGTAAGAAAAAAAAAATTGATCAAAAAATATGTTTTTTTTTTCTCAAAAATATAAAAAATTATTAAAGATAGCTCTCAATAATTGTCATCAGCTTTTTTTTGAAAAGTACTTTGAATGAAAAAAAAAAAAAAAAAAAACAATTTTTGAAAAAGTTCTGGCTTTTAAAGAATGTAATTTTTTTTAGTCCGTAAAGTTTTTTTGGTTGGCTAAAAAGTTGGAAAAAGTTTTGAGAAATTTTTTCAATAGAATAAAAAAAAACTAGAAAATATTCAGTCAAATCGGAAGGGATCATTAGAGTTATTTGGGGTAAATGTGCGCAGTGGGTAAGCGTGCACAATCCCATGTATTTGGGACTCAAATGAATGGATTTGCGCACTCTTACCCACTGCGCACATTTACCCCAAATGACCATCATTAATATATTATCACTATATTTACCCAAACTAATACTTGAAATTTATATAAAAAAATATCTTTTCTCCACTACACAAAAATGAAAAATTACTTTTTTTTTTTTTAAATAATTATAAAAAATTACCTAAAAAAAGACTGCAATTTTGTGAGATCTGTTTAAAAGATATTCAAACAGTTATATCATAAAAGTTTACAAAAAATACAACAAACCATAAATTACCTTTAAACACTTGATTAATAACCGTGAAGTGCAAAGTTTGCTCCATGTAAAATATTTATTAATTAACGAAATACACTTATAAAGATTAATTGCAAAACTGTGTCAGATAAATTAATCGGCAAGAACGAAAGTCCTAAAAAAACAAAAAAAAAAAATAAAACCTAAATGTGTATTGAAGTAAGGGCAGCGTATTGAGAACTGAGAATTATTAAGATTCTATCAAATAAACAAACGTTCAAAACAATTTCATGTATGTGTACAGATATTCACCTGTACATTTTTGTATATATGAATAGAAATTCACAAAATTGGATCGAAACTCGTGATAGAGCGTTTCGTGATGTACTCGTGCTATGCACGAGTTGACTCTATGAGCTCAATTTTGTTCGATAAATAACATTTTATATAATACAATCTAAACAAATAATAAATCATTTTCAACATCTTTTTAGTTTATCAAACACTGATAGAAGGATTTATTTGTATTAAAAAATATTTGTTAATAGTTAACAAATCATTTATTAGAGACCACTTTTTAGTATTAAACAAATATTTTTTAGTATTTAAAATGATTTGTTTGCATTTAATAAATCTGATATTTATTCATTAAATATTAATAAATCTTTTTAAATACTAAGAAATATTTGTTAAGGACTAAAAAGTGGTCTCTAATAAATGATTTATTAAATATTAACAAATATTTTTAACTATAAACAAATCCTTCTACCAGTGGATTTATAAAATGTTTCGATCGACATCATGGCTCTAAAAAATGAAAAAATTTTCTTGAAAAATAATCATATTATTCAGTGTTATCATTTAAAAAAAAAATTTCTTATGGAATCAAGTAATACACCGATTATTTTTTAATACCATAAAAATTGAACAGTTAGTACAGTGACAGGTAAAATCGATTCGCTGTAATACTATGGCAACGTGTACACTATTCTCAGGTCAATATTCGTTTGTGTATTATTACACAAGCAGCACATGTGCTAAATTTATTTAACTAGACTGTTTAATATTTTAGATAAAACATTTCCAAACAAATTATAGGTAGTTTTTTTACATAAATAATTTTAATTTATTTTAATCTCTAGTTTTTCAACAAAATTTTGTATTGTTAATTGTCTTGAAATAAAAAATTTGTAATAAGCTACTTGTTAAATATAAAAAAAAACCTTGTCTGGTGAAGAAATACAAAGTGTCTCAAAAATCTTCAAATCTTCCTCTGTATTTCCGGGCGAATCCTTAGAATCTTCCGATGCCATCTTCCGTCAATTGAATCGTCACAGGTTTCAAATTTAACAATCGATGAATTCAAAAATACAAGTAAGCGCAAATATTTTTTTTACTAAAATTTGCTTAAAAACTTTCATTGTTTAAATTAAATGATAAAGAAACGCGCACGTACGAAGCGGACGCAATACAAAAGCGCTGGCTTCGTCGATTGAATGTCAACACGCAAAGTCGAAGGGCTAATCGTATGACGCCATTGTATGCACTAGTTTACCTTTGAAAATAATCGAAGGAGTTACGAGCAATGATTCATCAAAAACTGCTGATTTCATGTTTTAAATTTTAGTTTTTAAGTATAATATTTCTACTCTGTTGAAGCTATTTCAAGCCTGGAGAAAATAAATGTTAATAATAAACAAACAAAAATCGTTTATTGTTTTAACTTAGAAATTTTTCATATCGTTGGTTGTTTATTTATTAAGATTAAAAATTAAAAATAACTTATCTTTTACGTGGCGCTGGGATTCCCGCATGCGGTATAAAGTGATAATGGTGATGAAAATAAATATCAAATTACATACACCAATTAAATTGAATATAAGCGATTATTGATGTTAATAAATGCTAATTATTCGGGAGAAATTTTTATTTCTATAATTATAATAATTTACGATTGGTTGTTAAAATAAATTACTGTACACTATTAAATTTGAAAAATGTGTAATTGTTTCATTTCTCAGTTCTTCTTTTTAGAAATATCTGATTAATAAAAAAGAAAACAAAAGCACTTTAAAAAGTTATAAATTAAATTTTACAACTTTGAATTAATTAAATTTAAATATAAATTAGTTATTAGTTTTTATGAATTTAATTTTTCAGCGAAAGTAAAAATCCCATTTCGTTATATCTATTTATACCATAATTAAAATCATGTTTATGTTCTTTTATGATTCGTGACTAATATTATTTATTCATTTATTCATGAAACTATTGATTTTACTTACTACCGCTATATTTGTAATTTGATGAAAACGAAACTTCAAAATTAAAGTGATATATTTTTTTTAAAGTTCATTAATTGTTTTATGTTTTGGTTCATCGTTTAACAAAAAAAAATGAATTGATAATTGATCATTCATGTTTTGATAAAATCAGATCACTAATTTATCAAAAGAGTTAAAATTATTTTTGTTGACAAAAATTTGTAATCAACGTTTAAAGTTATAAAGATTGTCAATAAATAATCTTAATGATAAATCAGAAAATTTTGTTTGACTATTATTGATTTTAAATACTTTGTATTTGTTTACATGTAAATCTTAGTACTTAAAAAATCAATATTGATAATCAAAGTGATAGATAATGAAATATATTTTGAAGATTTAAATGTAGAAATAATATTTTAACATGATTGCATAATTAAATTCAATAAATTCTATGAACAAATTACGAAAGTAGCATTTTTATAGATTTAGAGAAAATTTTTACAATACACTAAACAATATTAAATGAATGTAACTGAATTTAGCTAATATACCAAACAAGCACCAGTTATAAATAATCTGTCCTTTATTAGTACTTGAGACAGCCAGAAAACTGGCGAAACGTACAAAAATTATTAATAAAGATAATAATGCAAAGTCCTTAAAACTGTTAGAATTTATTTAATTAATATTTAATGATTCAAATTCAATAATTCTTATAGCAATGGTCTTAAATAAAGTATGAATTTATTATTTCGAAAAAAATTCAAATTAAGAATAAAAAATTTAAAATAAAAAATGAAACCTTCAAGTCGAATATTAGTGATTTTTTGTTTAAATTGACATTCTTTCCAGTAAATGTATCAACTAAATAAATCAAAACTATTTTCAATTTTAGGAATATTATTTGTGATTATAAAGAATATTACTTAATAGAGATATTTTATAAATTAATCGAAACTTTTAATACTTTTCATTGATGACCTAATCGTTCAATTATTTTTTCATCCATTGTTTGATAATTCTACCGTATAAAAAATTATTCGTATTTTTTCATCAATTGAAAAAAAAATCTGTTAAAGACAAACGTATAGAATTTGCAATAAAAAATAAGTATTGAGTGAAATATTAAAAAATAAGATTAAAGTTACTGGCAATGATTTTTATTGAAACCAGTGCTGACAATCATTAGTGATTTATAACAATTAAGCATTACCTAAATACTTTAATTAATAATCTATTAGCTTTGAAGTTAAATAAAATATTTATTTGGTCCAGATGTAGGGCCAGTAGAATTGTGCAGACTTTCCAAGACCAAAAACGGTCAGTACGCAGGTGATACCGAACAGAATTTTGTCAGGAGTACCTCCCATCAAGAAAACTGGCTTTGAAGTGTCCTTCTGTAATTATAATTTTTAAATTAATCACGAGTGATCTTATTTTGGTAGTTGAATAAATTTATTTATTGAAATATCGAATGTTAAATTTTTTGTACCTGGAATTTTTTCATTTTTGCTTCTAGTTTTGGAGGAATAGTTGAGTAAGATGCAGTTGCTGCTCTGTCGACTGAGACAGGTTTAGTTTTCACAGTATCATAGATCATTTTTGGTGCATCAGCTTTATTCAGTGGAGTTGGTCTCTGTTGTTAAGAAAATAAATATTAATGTTATATCTTTGAATTATTTATAATAAATTTTTATTTTTTATATATTTATGGTACATTTTTTTAAATTGAAATTCGTAATAAATCTTTTAAAATCATCTTCAAGTCAGTATTGACAGTGTAATTATTGTAAGAAAAACAATTTTTTGTTATATATTAATGTATTATCTTAAAAAAAAAAAAAAAATCCAATAATAAAAATATTAAGTGTATTATCTAAATTAATATGCCTTAACAGCAAAGATTTGCTAACTTTATAATTAAATAAATTAAATCAGGAATAAAATTGATTTATAAATATGAAATTCACTCATGTTTATTGAATTTGCTTAATTTCACAACCATTTTCAGTTTCGTGTCTTTTTATATAAAAATGGAAACATATATATGTTCATAGACTTATATAAAAATATTAAATAGAAAATTACTAACATAAAATCGATAAAAAAAAAACTTTTTTACTAATAAAGTTAACGACAAGGCCTATGTTTAGTTTCAACAATGAATGTTGTGAAAAATAATTAATTTTGTGAATAAATCTCAGATCTATTGACCAATTGAGGTTAAGATTATGAATTAATTTTTAATAATAATAAATATTTCAGTAAATTATCGAAAAATTAGTTACACCATAATTAACAAACCTAAAAGATTAAAAATAATTAATTCATTAATAATAATTAATTGAATAGATAAAAATAAAGTTATAGGGTGAATTAAAGTGAGGGAAGGGGGATTTAGACGAGGACATAGTAAAGGTTTTTCGACATGGATTAAATGATGTTCAGATCAATTATTAATAAATTATGTAACTTACCAAAGGGAATAAAGGCTGCAATTTTGCAGAAGCCTGCAATTTTCCAGCAAGTCGATTAAATTCGCGGAATACCATTTTGACTTCTTGCGCAATCAATTCTACAAGAACCGTGTAAAATAGTTGTCGATGGTCGCAGCTCTGAATTATAGTGAAAAAATTCACAGGCTGCAGCGCTATAGAGAGGAACTAGAGGTCTCATGATTCAATTGGTATGGAAGGGAATTACTCGATCATATGATCATAATGTATTACCTTGAAAGCCGATAGATATCTGATAATCTGATAGCCACCTTACCTATAACCTACAACTTACTGTCAATCTACGTCCGCAATTTGAAGCAAACTTGACGGAAAGAGTTGGCAAAGCGAGCGATTACCTATTAGTTACCTATAACTTACTCTCCAAATAGACGTCAAAACTTGCTGTACAAGTATTTCCGTCAAATTGTAGTAAAGTTGAAAGGAAATTTAACACTACAAGTTTGATTGCTAACTTGTATTCAAGTTGCGGCCGTAGATTTCCGTCAATTTGCTTACAACTGTTGTTGAGTGAAGAATTACCGCCAACTTGATGTATAAATTAACCGTAACTGCTGGAAGTCAACGCTTACTGAGAAAGCGCTGGCTATCAGGGATGATAGAGATGTACACTGGTCACGTGACGAGTATATATATATATATATATATATATATCTAATATATAAAATTCTTGTGTCACGGGGTGCGTGATCGAACTCCTCCGAAACGGCTCGACCGATTTTCGTGATCCTTAGCGAGGATACTAGCCAGGGGGGAGAATCGAACAACATCTATTTTTCATCCCCCTAAATGTTAAGGGTGGTCCACCCCTAAATTTTTTTTTTATTTTTCAGACAAAATTTTTTGTTTTTATTTTTTTATGATACATCATACAAAAATACATGCAACCCTACATTTTCACCCCTCTACGATCAACCCTTATTTTTTATTTGGTAATTCAAAAATTTTATTTTTTTTGCAAGAATTTTTTTTTATTTTGTCATGACTTATAATGAAAAATTTTATATTACTCTGAATTTTTCATCCCTCTACGATCAACCCCTATTTTTTATTTGTTAATTATAAACTTTAATTTTTTGAGAAAAATTTTTTTTTTATTTTGTGATGACTTAGAATAAAAAATCTCATGTTACTCTGAGTTTTTCACCCCTCTACAGTCAACCCCTATTTTTTATTTGTTAATTATAAACTTTAATTTTTTTGGCAAGATTTTTTTTCTTTTTTATTCTGACTTAGAATAAAAAATCTCATATTACTCTCAATTTTTAACCCCTCTAAAGACTAGGAGGTAATGCACAGGTGCCCCTGATGGAATAAATGTACATAATATGTATAGATATATCACCATCCACGTAAATTTTACATTTCCTTGAAAGGATATATTTTTTTGTTCGGCTAAATTTTGAAATTTTGAAATTCCAGCAATGGCCGAACGAAACTCCTGATAAAATTCTATAAAAATAAAAATTCTTTACGCCCAAAATTTGTCAGGAAATGCCCAAACACAACTCCTGTTGAAAGCGGAACTCAAAATTCCAATTTTAAGAGGTCCATCAAGGAAGTTACATTTTGGCACACCCTACTCTACAGTCAACCCCTATTTTTTATTTGTTAATTACATACTTTAATTTTTTGAGAAAAATTTTTTTTTTATTTTTTGATGACTTAGAATAAAAAATTTTATATCACTCTCAATTTTTCACCCCTCTACGATCAACCCCTATTTTTTATTTGTGAGTTAAAAAATTTAATTTTTTTGCAAGAATTTTTTTTTATTTTGTCATAACTTAGAATGAAAAATTTTATATTACATTGAATTTTTCATCCCTCTACGATCAACCCCTATTTTTTATTTGTTAATTATAAGCTTTAATTTTTTGGCAAAAATTTTTTTTTATTCTGTCATGACTTAAAATAAAAAATTTCATATTACTCTCAATTTTTCACCCCTCTACGATCAACCCTTATTTTTTATTTGTTAATTATAAACTTTAATTTTTTTGGTAAGATTTTTTTCTTTTTTGTCATGACTTAAAATAAAAAAATTTCACATTACTTTCACTCACTACACACTCAATACATTCATCATAAGAAGCTGACAGAAAAGGCGATTTCAGCAGCAAAAAATGTGGATGTTAAGGAATTGAATCTCAAGATGTAAAAGTTATCGCCAGGTCCTTGGTGACATATAGATCCGTTGAAGCAGTTTCCGATGACATTGAAACTGCAAATTTTCCAACAGAGTTTTTAAACCCATTGGATTTACCAGACATACCACCGCATAATTTAGGACTCATAGTTGGAGCTCCGGTCATTTTGCTTCGTAATTTGAACCCACCACGGCTGTGCAATGGCACGCGATTACTGAACAACTTCATCGAAGCCATTATTTTAGATGGCAAATGCCGGGGTGAAAGTATATTTATTCCCCAAATCCCTATTATACGCACAGATGTGCCAATTTAATTGAAACGTATTCAGTTCCCCATTAGATTGACATTTACAATCACTATTAATAAGTCTCAAGGCTAAACAATGTATGTTTGTGCCTTAGATTTGAGCACATCATACTTTTCTCACGGATAATTATACGTGGCATGCTCTTGAGGGGGCAAACCATCCAGTTTGTTTATGTTAGCTGAAGATGAAATGACAAAAAATATTGTATACTCCATCGCACAATAAAATTAATATTGTTGACCAATAATTTCAGAATTCGTTGTACATACAATTTAAAAGAAAAGTTACCATAAATCGAGAAAAGACCATCCGGCAGCCAAAATAGGAGTAGATTTCTTAAATAATAAAAACAAATTTTTTATAAAATAATATTGATAATAATATATAATTTCTGTTACAATAAAACAATGACATCAAAACAAATGCAACAGTAAGATTACATTAGATATGTCTGAGAAAGTCGGAAATTTTTGGTTTAGACTGATAGTGAGGTATGGAAATTAAAGTTTATTTAATGAGCCTCAAGGTGCAATTTACGAAAATTTTACAAGTCATCGCATTCAGATGTCATTTCGCGATGAAACAGTAAAAGTTTCAAATTTTGAGAATTTAGAAGAATTCAAATTTGTTATTCCTAAACTATTTAATCTAAAAAATATATAAATATGCAAATTCAAGATTGCTTAATAAGCTTTCAGATGTAATTTAAAGGAATTCGATAGGATATCGCGTTCAATTATTATTATACGGAAATACGGTAAGAGTGAAAATTTTTGCGATTTTCAAAAATGTTTAAATTGCTGTCATTCCTAAACTATTTAATTTGGAAAAATGAATAAGTATGCCAATTAAAGATTATTAGCTTATTACATAAGCTTTCAGATCCAATTTACACAAATTGAATATAAAATCGCATTTAATTGTTACATAGTAATAGATATTTTCGATACTTATGTGCGAAGTGAGGCATTCCCAGGGCTTAAAAATTGAGACACGAGTCTAAGAAACGGCGCGTTTACAATGGGGCCGAGTACGCAGATTACCCCCACGAGCCGTCAGGCGAGTGGGGGTAAGCGTACTCGTCTCATTGTAAACGTGTCGTTTCTTTTGGCGAGTGCCTCAGTTGGGACATATGTATCGAACAATATTTTTTGTAACGACTGCTTTCAAAGTTCAACAGAGAGAAATTATTATTTACAAAGAAATATTGTAATTAGTTGAACTACATCAGTTATCAAAATATTATAAATAATATTATAAATAATACACGCAGTTATGGTTAGTAGTTGCACAGAGTTGAACATATGATCGACAAGCTGCTATTCATGTGTGGTTATTTGGTATGCGCAGGCGCTAGAATTAGTCTCAGTATGCTTGAGAGTTTGATTTGTAGTGGTAGTGGCGGACATATACATTCTATGAATCTTATACATTTATTGTAGTTAATTTTCATTCCCGCACGGTCAAGCAGTTGGAAAGTTTGACTCCGCCTACTTTCCCGCACGCTACTATAGTGTATGCAACCATCACGACAATACGCAACTTTGCGTTTGCTAAGCAAGGCTCGAATGTTGAACTTTGGAAGGAGGAGTTACAAAAAAAATTTGCCTTATTGCGTCAAAAAATTTTGTGTTAAAAATTTGTGTGTTTAATATTTAACACTTTTACGTGTAAATTTACCATTTATTGTGTTAAATTAACACAGAAAAGTGTTAAATTAACACAAAAAAGTGTTAAATATTTAACATAAAAATTTTTAACACAAAATTTTTTGACGCAATAAGGCAAATTTTTTTTGTAACTCCTCCTTCCAAAGTTCAACATTCGAGCCTTGCTTAGCAAACGCAAAGTTGCGTATTGTCGTGATGGTTGCATACACTATAGTAGCGTGCGGGAAAGTAGGCGGAGTCAAACTTTCCAACTGCTTGACCGTGCGGGAATGAAAATTAACTACAATAAATGTATAAGATTCATAGAATGTATATATCTGCCACGACCACTACAAATCAAACTATCAAGCATACTGAGACTAATTCTAG